AAAAAAAAAAAAAAAAAAAAAAAAAAAAAAAAAATTAAAGGCTTTCAGCAGAGCTCAGTTTGAATCCAGCTATTATTCACTAGCTCTGTGCCCTTAATTGTCTATGACAAGAGAACTGAGAGGATTAAATTAAATGAGGTAATCCACACAAAAAATCTTAGCAGCACCTTGCCTAATGCCTAACTCACAGAAAGAGGTAAGAAATCACATCACAGCCAGCTGTGGTTGCACACCCTTGTAATCCCAGCATTGTGGACGATGAGGCATGAGGACTGCCCTAAATCAAGGCCAGCCTGGCATATGTAGTGAGTTCAAGACCAGGGGAGAACTCATGCCTCAAAAAAAAAAAAAAAATGAGGAGACCTACATGGGGAGACCCTGCCTAAAAAAAATTAAAAAAAAAAAAAAAACCCACATTGCATTCACTCTTTCATTCAGTTTTTATAAGAAAAAGTACAATCTAGGTCAGTATTTTTAAAAAAATAGAGGGGCTGGTGAGATGGCACAGTGGTCTAAAGCACCTACTTAGAAGAAGCTAAGCTAAGCAAAGCACAGGGGCCACGGCTCAATCCCCCAGCACCCCATGCCAGCCAGCCCCGCCCCCTGGTGGGCTGAGCTGGCCACACACACACACACACACACCACACACAAAATAAATAAATAAATTTTTAAAGAAATAGAAAGAATCTTAAATTTCTCTATTTGGGGATGGGGAGATAGCCCAGTAGAATAAGTGTCTGCCTGGCAAGCACAAGGGCCTGAGTTCAATCCCCAGTTCCGTGAAAAAAAAAAAAAAAAAGAAAGAAAAGAAAAGAAAAAAAGAAATAGAATCTCAGATCAGTATTTTTTGGGGGTGCCAGGAACTGAACTCAGGACCCTGCGACTGCCTGGCAACTGCTGTTGCTGAGCGACATCTCCCGCCCTAGATCATTTTTATAATTCTAGACTTTTACAAAGTAGCCTAAAGCTACCACCAGAAATATAATTGAAAAATATACTGATGAATGCACAGAAATCTCAGATGAGTCAGCAAAACTTATGCCCAACAGACAAAAAGCTCAATGCAGACTACTTATAACTACATACTGGTAACTACAATTTTAAAATCAGCACTACTCTATTTAGTACCATCCCAAAGTTGGACTGAAAATCCAAGTATTAAAAAAGCAAAGATCATAACCCTAGAAATATGTTTCCACGATATTCCCAAATCATCTAGGAGAAATTGGCAGGTATGAGGTACCCTGAAAATTTGGGGTAGTCATCAAGAAACAATGTCTTAAGATAGAATTCCTACTCTCCCTCAAGCATAAAACCAGTTAAAGCATACCTCATCATTTCTCAGGGAGAAATGTAACTCTAACAAAATACAGATAACTGAAATTCTTATCAAGGCTATTCATCACTTTTTGATTCAGCCAAAAATAAGCTCTGGGTTCTTCCCCAAACACCCTAAATTCTGCATCATCACTGACTTAAAGCAATATATTTTTAGTGATCTGTCCTTTTGCTTCATTATAAATACAGGAACTTGCTAAATGGGGAAAATATTTAGACATCCACCCTAAAAAAGACCCACGTTCTATAAAAACCCAATCATCTTGGTTGAACTGGAAGACATAAGCCTCTAAGTCTACCCACCCTACACACTCGGGCTCTACCATCTGCTTTAATTCACGCCCAAACCCTATCTATTGTATTACTCTGCCACTCGGCGGCGTTGTTTTCTACTCTACCTCTCTCAATTAAAATAATGCCCTGCTAGTCCTTGTCTTCAAATCTCATCACTGTCCTCAAATCCTAAGGACCTGGGACACCCACACAGATGACCTCACGCATCCCCATTTCATTGTACTTTACATCCAGAACTCATTCTTTCCAACCTTGCTCATTTCCTAAAATCCGATACCCGACACACGCTCACTGGAGTCCCCGCTCGGTCCATTATCTCCCCGGCCTATTCCTTTTGGAAACTCCAACTGGAGCCTCGAGCACCCTCGCCCCTCAGGGCGCTCTGGCTCCCACGGGGCTCGCGTTCCCCTCTCTTCCCCAACCCCCAACTACGCCCTCCCCATTTCGCCCGCTCGAGCCCGCCCTCCACCTCCGCGCCCTCAGCGCCGCCAACCCGCCACCCAACACCCCAGCCTCACCTAGCGCGGGGTGTGGGGAGAGCGGTCAGTCGCCGCGTCCTCCCAGTTCCGGGCTCGGCGTCCGGGACGCTCCCGCTCCGAGAAGAGGCACGGGAGACCTTCCGCCTCTTGCTCGGCTCCAGGGGCCGCGGCCGTCGCCGCCGCGCTCCTCCCCCAGCACCCCGCGGGCCGGACGCCGCCCCACCCCCACCGCCGCCTGCCCGGCCTTCCCGGTCCACCGGTC